GTGGCTTTGGTTGGAATATGGACTCCCGGCATCCTGCAAAGGGCAGCACTAGTTTCCAAAGGCAAATTCCCCTAAGAATGCTCACACCTTCCTAGACTTGGTGAGTCACTCATCCTCCCTGTTTCACTCCTCAAACCCTTCCATCACTTTGTGCATTCAATTCTTATGCTCAGATGAGTATAAATACCGAGGGATGGAGAGGAGAGGAGGCTTTCCAGGCAGCAAACACAGCATGCCAAAGGCATGGAGCGGGAAAGGATTTGGTGGGTTCTCGATCCCATGTACTTCTGTGTGACTGGAGTTGAGGGGGGAAGCAGGAGAAAGGCCTGGACAGTCTGATGGGTCAAATGGCTCAGAGTCTGGTCCCACGGAAAAATTTTTCAGTAGAAAAATAAAGTGATAAGGTCAACATTTTGGAAAGATTGCTCTTTATGTGAGAACAGTCTGGGTCACGTGTGAAAAATAAATGACCTGGGAGAGTGGGCACCAGAAGGGAGGGTGGGCAGATTGAGGGGACATGGTTGAGTTGGACTTGACAAGACCCAATGACTGCTTAGATGTGGGGGGTCTGGAGTCAAGAGTAAAATTTTCTGCCTTGGGAAGCTGTGGGCTGGGGAAGCAGTGCAAACAGTGGTTCCGCTCCCAGCCCCCGGACTTGGGGGGCTAGCAGTGGAATCCTGGCTTCCATGTTAACTTGGACTAGTTGCTGAGCCTTTCTGTGGCTCAGTTTCTTCATTTGTAAAGTGGAGGAGGATTGCATCTACTTTGGGAGTGGGTGAATTTTAATGTTTCTCGCGGGATTTAAATGAATTAGAACATATAAAACCTTTGGGTAGGAAATGGCACATAATAAGCACTAATTAATGTTAGCGATTGTGAGTGTGGTGGGTCATCAGAATGTAAAGGTACACAGTAGTTTCTAAACTTTTAAATAGTGTTGCACAACTCATAAATTCTTACCTCTTCTTTTGTTTCTGTTATTCTTCCGATATTAATAGTGGAAATTTGCACTGTTTTTCTCTCATCTTATAACAATTCACCAGCAGCACTGATGACCTGGCTTCCTTGTTTGCTGTGAAACCAGCTCTGCCCAAAATGCAGACGGTGAGCTCTACTCAAGATTCTTTCATGGGTGTTTCCAGTAGAAGAGTTGAGTCGTTATCCAGACAACAAGGGAATTAATATATGAATACATCTGCTTGGAGCTGCCCTTGGTGTCTTTAAAGCATTATTACGTATACAGAGTCATTCAGCAAATGCTTGTGGTCCACCTGTGAAGTGTCAAGCAAAGTGCCAGGTGTTGGGAGGCCAGAGCCAGATACAGGAAGGCTCAAGTGCATGGTCAGGTGCAAGTGTGTGGCTCTCGGTGACAAGAGGTCTGGAGTCCAAGTCCTGTCTTCCCCAGCTGCCTGAGTTTGCTAAGGTATTTACCCTCAGTCTTAACGTAAGCTGGAAGAATTAATTTCTACTTTACAGTAGAGAGGGTTGTTGTGAGTTGTAAAAAGCTTCCAATATAGCAGTTGGTACACAAAGGAAGCCCTTAATTAACTCTTCCAGTCTCCGCCCTCTGGAGCTCTCCATTTGCATTATTATTATTATTCAGACCAGCCCCTCCTCTCTCTGTCTGGCTGGGGAGCCGGTTCAGGGGAGGGTGGGAAGGTAAGGGAAATGACAGGAGGAACAAGCATTGGCGTAGGAAGACTGAGAGTTAAAAGTTCTGCACACAACACTAATTGAGCACAATATCTGATATATTTGTGCTGCATGAACCTGGTACAGGTTTAGCATTTGATGAAGGTGTCAAGCCTGTAAGAGCAGCTTGCAGGCATTTTCTTACAGCGCTGCCTCACTTAATCCCTACATCAACCCCACACAGTAGGAGCTATTATGGTCCCCATTTTACAGGTGGGAACACTGAGGCAGAGGAGGAGAGCCTAACTTGCCCGAGGTCACAGAACTAAGAAACCAGGATTCAGACCCAGGCACTCCAGCATCAGAGTCTACCTTCGGGATCACTCAGTACCCTTCTGCCTTCTGTCTCCTCCTCCAGACTTCATTTTATAGCCAATAGAGACTATCGCTAATGGTTCTTGAGAAAATTACTCAAATCCAGTAAATTCAGGGAAAAGTCAAGTAGAAGAAAAGTAATGTATCTGGAAGGCAATATGACCTAGCCATTTCTTTTCTCTAGGTGGAACCCAAGAAATGCCTTAGGGGCGCCTGGGTGGCTCAGTGGGTTAAGTGCCTGCCTTCAGCTCAGATCATAATCTAAGGGTCCTGGGATGGAGCCCCATGTAGGGCTTCCTGCTCAGCAGAGAGTCCGTTTCTCCCACACACCCCCTCCCCAAACCCCCCCTTGCCCCCCCCTCTCTCTTTCTCTCTCACTCATTCTCAAATAATAAGATCTTAAAAAAAAGAAAAAAAACCACCAGACCAATCAGGCTCCTTCCTTCCTTTGCCCGGTTTCCAGAGTGGCCCAGACAAGCTCCTCTCTTGTGGGCTGTGCAGTTTAGAGCGTTCCATAGTTTTTTAAAAAGCATCACATTTGAAACAAGCTTCACTTTCTTTTTCTGGGAGGCATTTGCTGCACGGATCCTCCCGTTCTCTGTTCCCTGTTCTCTGCGGAAAGCTCATGTGCACCCGTAGGTGCCGGGCTTGTGCTGCCTTACCGGCGCTTGCCACTAGAGGGCCCTGCCCCCGAGATTGCAATTTCAATGAACCTTCGGAAAAACTGGCGCATCTTGGTGTGGTCCATAAGATCACACCCACTTTGCAGAAGGAGAATCTAAGAACCAAGCCCTTAGGGGATGGGGTGAGTAGCTTATATCTTCATATCAGAAGACTAGGGAAGAAAGAAAGCGAGAGATGGGAGCTCGGTAGTCCCAAGTCCCAAAGGCCGTATGAAGAATTCCTGGGCACTAGTTCCCTTCCAGGTTTGTTCTCCTGCAAGACCAAAGGAACACTTGCTTCTGGTTCTATTCCTTCTCCCCCACTTGCCATCGGGGCTGTAGGAAACTAGCAATCTGACTGGGTGAGCGCACCAGGAAGGAGTAGGGGCAGGCTAGAGAAGGACCATGTTCAGGAGTGGTCCCTCAGCTCACACAAAGGTGAGGAGCCATGCTTTTAGGGGGAAACCCAGCCTGTTCAGTGTCCCTTTGGAGCTTTTCCATCCTTATGATGTGTCTCTTTGTTTCTTCCCTCATGTTCCTCCCTGGGTGACTGCCTTTCACTCACAGCTGGTTCATTGCTTCCGGTGATGTCTCCACTGGTCTAACTCTGAAAGTCTTTTCCCTCCAAAGTGTCCTTACGCTGATGTCTGCGTTCTGACATTGAAGGCTTGCCATAACGGGATTCCACTATGCTTCTGTCTATCAGCGCTTGAAACATAGACCTTCTGTTTGAGCTGGCTGGTCATTTTCAATGCCATTCAAAGAATTTATTGCTCACAAGCCTGGTGCAGGGCACAACGTTGGCTGGTGGTGGGTGCACAGGGGAACAAAATTCTCATCATTCAGGGTAAGTCTTGATGGGTTTGAAGTCACGGACCTTGCCCTTCAGTATGCACAGTGTGGAGGGATGCAAATAGCGTCTATACTGTGAGGCAGAAGGAAATGAGTTGCAGTGATATAAGGACAAAGCGGGGGAAAGGAGGGCAAAAAAGCCATAATTAATTTGACCCATGAGACCCGTGATGCTTCACAGAGGAGGTGACATTTGAGCTGAGCATTGATGTGTGTGCAAAGGGCCGGAGCTGGGGACACACACCGAAACAGAGGCACTCTGCTGTCATAGACAAGGGACGGTGAGCGTGGTCTGTGCATCTGGGGCAGTGCCCAGAGCACATCACACAGATCCAGCCTCCGCTTCTTTCTTGGGCTTTCCTCAGTGGGATGCCACCTGGATTTCATTCTTGGCCAAATCCTACTCTTCCTCCAGAGGCCAGTTTCAACCCGCCTCCAACCCTCCAAGACCCACCTCCTTCAGGAAGCCTTCCCTGATTTTGCTAGCTCCCGCCACTCCCTGAAACGTGTAATTCAGCATTTAACACGAGTGCCCATGCTTGCCTTGCACAGAGCAGCTAGACCAGAGCAGACATTTTGCTCATCTGATACTCTGGGGGGTCTTGCAGCCCCCAACACAGGGCTAATGGTGTTCAGGGCTAGACGGTGCTATGGACCCATTCACTGGGACTAACACCTCCCTTCTGCCTACATGCAGCTCATTTCTGCTGCCCAGCCTGGGATCGTTGATGGGGATTTGGGATTTAGCTGGCCGTGGGTGCTCACACGTACGGGAAACGTTCTTCATATGATCACTTGAAAGTTCTGCTCAGCCGCGGGCGATTCCTCCTCAGCGCTGGTAGGAGGGGCACGGACATCTAACCAGAGCGTGAAGTCCATGATTCTCTATGAGAATCTTATGAGGCCTCTGAAGTAGAGCCTGAAGAAAAATGCCCCAGCTGTCTAGTCCCTACAGAAAGAGCATTTTCCAATGCTCCATTTGGAGAGTGTGTCTGCACAGCTGAGAGCCACACCACCAATGGCTTCCCATGCGACCCCATCATGCACGGGTGGGCCGGTCCAGCCAGCTGTCCCCTGCACAAAAGTTCCTGGGCAAAGGGGCACAGAGAAGCTGAAATGCAGCCCACACTCTATTCCTCGAGCCATGTGCTTGGGAGGGGCTGCTTCTGCCTCAGGGAAAGGTGCTTTTGTCTCATTTGTCGCTGGGGCTGTGTAGAATTTGGAGGCTCTGCATCAGGGCTCCTTGCAGACACCGAGTGTGATAAGAGCATCTCAGGTGGTGTGCCACCACGGAGCACAGGTGTGCAAAGTATTAATCCTTCTTACCTAGGGGGTTGCTGGGAAGAGTCATCACCTCCAATCACAAAAAGTCACCTATCGGGGTGTGATGGCTTCAGTCTCCATGTAAGACATGCGCAGAGAAAGTCTGGGTCCGGGGCATCTGCTGGGCTATCGATGGCGGCTGAAGCCCGTTCCACAGGGAGAAGGCTGCCCAGCAGCCTAGACCACATTGTCATAGGCTGAAATCCCAGGAGGTTTGCCGTCCTGAGTGCTGGTTTTCCCCATCTGTACACAAGAGGCAGTTGGGGCGGCAGGTTAATTGAGAGACGCTGCATGGGAAGCCCGGCCCGGGTGGTACCAGGACAGAGAGACGGCCCGGGAAGATGCTCCCGGTCGCCCACTTGCAAGCGCTTGAGTAATCAGCAGTGGAGCCCAAGAAAAAAGCAGCAGGAGGGAATGGGGGTATTTGCATTGATTTGATGACAGGCTTGGGCAACACCAGGCTCAATCTACCCGCCTCCCTTGCTCCTGGCTGAGCCTCAGCTCCTTCTGAACCCCCACAAGTGCTCCCCACATACTAGGGAGCTGCCTCCACCAGTGTCCTATGCTCTAGTTATGCGACAGACCTAGAGCCCTCCCCACACCCCACTCCCAAGTAAAGTGGACCCGACAGGACAGGGAAAAAAATCTTCTCAAATCACCTAATGAGCAATCAATAATTGCTATCCACCTTGTCTAGAGGATGTGCTTTGAGATGCTGCAACCTGAGCCTCCCTGGTGAATCCCTCCAGTAGAGTCCTTGCCAACGTCTCCTCCTGTGTCCTTCCCCGACCTGAAGATCCCGGCTCACACATGCAGCCCTGCCCCTCCCTTCTTCCTTCCCCTTCGCCTGTCCTTTGTCCCTCCGTTGTCCCTCTGTCTCCTTCTCCCTCCTTCCCTCTCCTGAGCACTGAGGGAGCGAAGGCCCTTCTGTCTTGTGCTCCAGGACATTGGCTTAGCCCCACACCCCAACCACCTGAGCACAAGTTCTCTTGCAAGCCTCCTGCTTCTGCAGCTCACAGATGCCCTCTACCGAACCAGCTCTTAATTCTCATTCCCCACCCATCGGCGGCCCATTTCCTAATGTCCCCTCCCGCTCTTCATCTGCTCTCTCCACTTTCCCTTCCCCCGAACCCCAGGTTCCTGTTTATCTTTCACGATGATTTTGCTCAGCTATTACCCAGGAACACTGAAAAAACATTCGATTCCCCAAGACACCCCAAAGCTGTCCTTCTGACTGCAGCAGAAATGAGGATCCTCACAGACAGTGAGCGATGCCCCAAACGGAAAGTCTCACTTGCCCTCTATGCATAGCCCAGAGCAGGACATTGAGGCACAGGGCACTGTGCGTGTCGCTGCTCCATTTCAAATTGTGGTGCAGGTTGCACACTGTGCAAGTCAGCTGGCGGAGGAAGTGGGAACTGAAATTCAGCCTGTGTTCTACTTCCCCGGGCTGGGCACATGGTGTGGGCCTGTGTCTGTCCAGAGGGGGGCACCTGGTTGTCTAATTTTATTCTGTGAGCCCGCATGGCTCCAGCTGCTTGAGAGGCTAGAGTTGGAACCCCGCAGTTCAGAGGTCCGGGGGCTCCTGCATTTAGGGGCAGGCTCAACACCCCAAGTGAGCCAGCTTTTGGATGGCCACGGACCTGGAGCTGGGTTCTGCGCAGGGGTGGAACACTGTGGGCCAAGGCCCTCAGCAGTTAGTCCTGAGAGGGACAGAAAGAAGCACCAAGCGAACCAGCTGGCCCCTGCTCGGAGGGACGGGGCACAACGGAAGGGCTGGAACACACAGGCTGAGATAAAAAATCAAAAGGATTTACCTTATCCATCTGCAACGTGGCGTAAACCCTGTTCACTGGGTCCTCCTTGGCAGGGAGCTCCTGTAAAACACCCGTCTTCCCCTCAGTGAGGGGCCCAGGCAAAACCTCGTGAGGCCCCCTCCCGCCTCTGCCTGGCCTGCTGCTCCCTGCTCCCACTCCCACCAGGTCACCTCCTCTCCCCGCCTCCACTCTGGTTCCATCCAGCCTCGAGAAGGCCAGGGCAGGGCGTGGGGCGGGAGGAGTGGGTAGCAGTTGGGTAAAAGCCTCAGGAGCCAAGAGGAGGGGTTTGTGTGGTTCACACCGGGTCTTGCCCACTGAAGATTTTGGCTCTGGACACCTGGTTGCCCATCAGCACAAGCTCAGTGCTGGCTGGACCAGGCGGACCTCCACTGCCCTTCCACTCCTGTGGACTTCGGGGGAGCAGGCCAGGGCCTGGGAGCACAGAGGAAAGTGGTTCAGGGTGGAGATGAGGGCAGGACAGGCAGGTGAAGGGCAGGTGGGAGGAGGGGGGTGTCGCCGCCAGACCAGGAAGTTCAAGGGGACCTCTCTTGGGGCTCCTGGGTGGCTCAGTCATTAAGCGTCCACCTTCGGCTCAGGCTGTGATCTCAGGGTCCTGGGATCGAGTCCCGCATCGGGCTCCCTCCTCAGGGGGGAGCTTCTCCCTCTGCCTCTCCACTCTGTTGGTGCTCTCTCTCAAATAAACTAAATCTTAAAAAAGGAGGGGAATCTCTCTCAGTTCTGTGCTCTTAAAGGCCCCTCAGCCTCCTATTCCCATGTTGGTGGCCACCTAGCAGCCCTCACCTCACACCTAAACAGCCCCCTTGCTGTTTGTCCCTCGTGGAGGGCACCCCACTCCCACCTAGTCAGGCCTCTCACGTCACCCAGAACCAGACCCCCCTGTGGAAGCTGACGGCCTCCACCCCTGAAGGTTGCTGTGCAGTGACGACTGGCCATGTTCCTGTCCCCACAGGGGGACTCATGGCATCATTTCCCTGACATGACGATGCTTGGTTGGACCCTCTAGATCCCTGACCTGCTGCCCCCGACTCCCTTCCCCTGGGGGCGGTGTGAGGACCTGTGAGTGGCATTAGCTCACCGAGGACGGGGGGATTTCATCGTAGATTCTGCCCTCTGCTGGGGGGGCAGCTCTGGTCACCATGATGTAGGTGTATATTGTTTTCTTCGAGGTGGCATCTGCGTCACAAAGAAACATAGAAACACAGCGTGTGAGAGGCGGATGGGTTTTAGAGATGACTTCTTCTGAGGTTCTTTTTTTAAGGTAAAGAAACGAAGCCCTAAAAGGTCAGAGGGCTAACATGGCCTTGAGACGGATGCTCGGGTCCTGGGACGGCCTCTCCCTCTTGTCGGGACTTCGCACGGTGTGGGAGGCACCGGCTCAGGCCTGGCTCACCCAGGGCTCTGCTCCAGAATCCACAGGAGGCTGACGAGGTTCCCCCAGCCCGGGCGGGCAGTCGGAGGCAGCCCCTCCCCGCAGGGTCTCGCGTGGCATCTCCGGCACATGGTGCTGACTGCGTCCCCTGGGCTCATTGTCTTCTCACGTGAGGGTCTTGGTTTTTCCGCGAGGTTGATTCTCTCTAGTTACACATTGTGTCAGACTCCTTTGCCCCGTACCTTCCTGTGACTATCTCCAGGGAGAAGAACAGAGCAGATACTCTACAGACATTCGTTGTCTGCTGATTGAGCCACATGGTAAAACACTGATGAGAGGCTTCCTCTGTGTACCAGGCTCCACGGGAGGCAAAGACCACAGAGACAAGTCCCTACTCTTAGGAATTTCTGGGCTGACAATAGCTAAACTATGGAAAGAACCTAGACGTCCATCAACAGATGAATGGATAAAGAAGATGTGGTATACACACACACACACACACACACACACACACACACACACACCGTGGAATATTATGCAGCCATTAAAAACCCTGAAATCTTGCCATTTATAACAACGTGGAAGGAACTAGAGGGTATTAGGCTAAGCAAAATAAGTCAATCAGAGAAAGACAATTATCATATGATCTCTCTGATATGAGGAATTTGAGAGCAGAGCAGAGGGTCTTGGGGGGTAGGGAAGGAAAAAATGAAACAAGACGGGACCAGGGAGGGAGACAAACCATAAGAGACCCTTGATCTCAGGAAACAAACTGAGGCTTGCTGGGGGTGGGGGGTTGGGATAGGGTGGTTGGGTTATGGACATTGGGGAGGGTATGTGCTATGGTGAGTGCTGTGAAGTGTGTGAGCCTGATGATTCACAGACCTGTACCCCTGGGGCAAATACTACATTATATGTTAAAAGAAATAATAATTCCTGGGCTGAGGCAGCTGGGTGGCTCAGTCGGTTAAGCCTCTGTCTTTGACTCAGGTCATGATCCCAGGTGTCCCGGGATCAAGTCCCGCATCGGGCTCCCTGCTCTGCAGGAAGTCTGCTTCTCCCTCTCCCACTCCCCCTGCTTGTATTCCCTCCCTGTTATCTCTCTCTGTGTGTCAAAAAAATAGATAAAATCTTAAAAAAAAAAAAAAAAAAGAATTCCTGGGCTGGTAAAGGCATCCGTCCCAGTGTGCCCCTCTTTCTGATCCCAACATACAAAATTTTAGGGCAAAGTCAAAAAGAGCTGTTTCAGGGCACCAACACATCCACAAATAGCAGCGAGCTGAGTGGCACACAGAGGTAAGTCCTGTCCCAGACCCTACCTCCGACTCGCCAAGAGAGTAAGCCCGGGCACTCTCTGTCATCTCATTGGTAGATGAAAAAAGTAGCACTTCTTCCTTCCCAAGAGACCGTGAGGGATTGGAGACAGATGTCTCTTGGAGGAACCCTGAAGATACCTATGGCCTGAGTCAGGTTACGGGACTTCTCCCCATCACTCCCATTTGAGTTAAATTCTCTGCCCCTGAAAACCTCCTTCTGTGCCAAGGCTGGATGGTCAGTTGTACGCATCGTGCTGATATTTACTGAGTCCTTACTATGCACCGGGCTCCAGGCCAAGTACGTAATGTGGGTAATTCCATTTAATCCCGTTAATAAGTATGTATGTCTGTTTTACCACCGACAAAACTGAGGCTTGTGCTGACAGATCTATAATAGCTGATAAACGGTCAAGCTGGGACCTTTGGCCCAGACCACCTACGAAACAGAAGCTGAGTCTTAACCCATCTGCCGTGAACTCATCACTCTCAGTTGTCACCTGTGGAAACTCGTGGCTGAGAACTTACCAGAGTTCTTACTGAAGGGCTTCAAGAAGGAACCTGAGGAATCAGACCCAAAGGAGAGTCAGGAACATGGAAACAGAGGTGGAGCTCTCTACACCCAGGCTTGTTACTGTGATTGGGGGGAGGATTTGGGGAAGATTTGGGGAGATGATGGGGGTAGGAGGAATAGGAGGGCATAATGATCCTCGGGGGGGGGGGGCGGCCAAGATTAGGTTTTCTGCATTGCAAATAGCACAATTACAGAAGGATCCAGAGGGATCCAGAGGGATCTAGTGACGTCCATGGAATGAAAAGTTAGTACATGTCTGTCAGGGACTCTCCAAAGTCAAAATATGGTGGAATTGGAAGTGACTCAGGATACCCTATAGTTCGGATCTCATTCTACATGTGAGAGCTCTGAGCCAGAGAAGGAAAGATACAGTCCAGTGAAGCCCAGCTCCTCCGTGGCAGTAGTGAACTCAAAACCAGATTCTGGGCCCACCAGATACTGATGACAGCAGGAGCGGATTCCGGAGCCCACTGAGAGCACTGGCATCCAGGGGTCAGCACTCTGGAGAGGGTGAGGGAGTGTGGATTGGAGGAAGGCAGATTCCCCAGAACAAGGCACCTCTCTACCCCACCTTGGATGGATGACTGCTGTCCCGGGAAAAGGAAGGTGTATTTCCACATTTTACCTTCTGGAGAAATCCTACCTTCTCCTCGTTTGCGCAAAAGGAACAAAAGCACCAAAGTCACGATGAGTATAGACAGAAAGAGCCCGGCCAGCCCGCTCAGCAGCCTGGTGTGGCGAGAACGGAGGCCTGTTGCAGTGTCTGGAAACAGAAGAGACAGTGAGACTTGGCCACACTCAGGGACACTGTCAAAAGGGGTGCCCGCCGGGGGAGTGCCACAGCTCCAAGGGAAACTGGACTTTCTGGTATTCAAAGTCAGCGTTAGAAACAGTCAGAGGGCCAAGCAGGGGCTGCTTCAGAACACCGCAAACACCCGGCCCATCTCAGACAGCTCTGGCCTCTTTTCCAGGCCCTTCTGGGAGGAGATGCCCCTGGGGACCAGCCTGGCCTAAGGGAGGGACACCCCCCGGGGAAACAAGGCCCAGTTTAGGCCGCTCTTCCGAGTGGGTCTTGGAGACTACAGGGGAGCCGGACGGCGCCGGTTACCTGCACAGAGCTGCTGGGCAGAGATGGAGTCCGAGCTGTTGCTGATGGGGTTCTGGGCTGTGCACGTGTAAGTCAGCTCCTGGCTGTCGGGGGTCCGGGAGATCCGAATTACATTCCCCTTTTCCCCCAGAGGACTCCAACTGTATGTGACGTTCTCTTCTTCTTTCTCCACGGAGCACGTCAAGGTGACATAGCAGGTGCTGTTCATAGACGTCATTAAACTCTGTGTGATTCGTGGCTTCCCAAGCCGACCTAGGACAGGGAGGCACAGGTGTCCGGGCTGAGCGGGAGCTAACCTCTCTCAGGAGAGCCAGCTGTTGGGTTCTCAGAAATTCTTTCAAGAGGGTTGTTAAGTGCAGCCATCATGAAAAATGAAATGATAACAACTTACAATAAAATAAATCACATTTTGAAAAGCTAATATGTACTCAAAATTCACCGCTTTCTATTTTTTTGGCCGATTTGCTGTTACCTACGCTCTAAAAGTCATTTACATCTCTCAGATCTGTCTTGTGTAATGATATACAAAGTCTTCCCAGTTCTGCAAGCTTTAAAACACAGTGGGAGTCTTTACACCACAGAAATGGACAAATCAGGGGGTGCTTGGGAGGTTCTGTCAGTTAAGCGTCCGACTCTTGATTTCAGCTCAGTTCCTGACCTCAGGGTCATGAGATTGAGCCTCACGCGGGGCTCCGCACTGGGCATGGAGCCCGCTTGGGATTCCCTCCTTCTCCCTCTGTCCCCCTTTACCCTCCCCTCAAATAAAAGAAATTGGCAAATGCTCAGACTTGGGCTGCGTTGACTGGTCTACAGATTGTCACTCTAGACTGAAGAAAACAAGAAGAAACATTAAAGATGAAGAAACATTAAGAACATTAAAGATGGTTAAAGTCAATTAAACTTCAGTCTGCCTTCTGCCTGCAGCCATTACATTGGGAACAGCGCCAAAGAAACTAGGAAATATTCTTCCAGTGTTTGAAAACCATTATCCGATTCAGCAAAGCAGTCTCTTGCACTGACATGCAAGGTCAGGTCTGAAGTATGTGTTTGTTGGGTTACTTTTTCCTTATTAGCCCAGTTCACAAAACTATAAGCCAGTATCCCCGTTGGCTTCTTCTTCGACACCTGAAGGCTGAGAAGGATAAACATTCAGCAAAATTCAATGAAAACGTTCTGTGCATACGGCTAGCTCTATGGGATACACAATAAAGACCAGTGTATATTTACTACCATTTATGAAATCATGTGCCGCACGCCCTTTGGGTCACCCAGGCCATCGAGAACCAGTGCGCCACTGCATGAAAGTCTCTACAAAAAATGTTTTGGCTGTGTTTTCTGGTGTGTTTTCATGGAGTTGTTTTGTGTTGTTCTAAAGTGCCACAGTAAAAAGTTAAAATCCCTTCAAAAGTTCATTTCAAAAGATGTTTTTACAAAAGCAATCAAAAGGTTAACTGTCCAAGTGGTAGGCTGGTAAGGGGTTACGGAAGAGCAATTATATTTAGGTTGAAGTAAGAGCTATCTGGGGCCAGCAGAAGGAAAGGGAAGTTCTTCCCTTCACTGGCAGATAAGAAAATGCCCACGTTCCGAGTTGGTAAATTTAGTTAATTCTTGGCCAGACTGCTGTGCTGGGCTTTGTTCCCTCTATCCTAGCCACGTGGGGAGGGTTCAGAAGGAGGGGGCATGTGGCTTTCTGGTTCATGTAGTATTTTTAAAGTTGTCTGTGCCTGCAAGGAAGTAGAATATGGTAAGGAAGAATCTATAAATGTTTTTCATTCCAACCACACCAGAAACCCTGGTCCTGTGAGTCTCTTAGAGGGATCTACTCCAGACCAGAATTAGTGGTGACTTGTGAAAAAACTCCCAAAGAAGTTTGGAGTGACCTTGATGTGCTACGACAGTGATCAATACAGACATCTATAGCAAAAAATCAGCCAAAGTGTGTGTGTGTGTGTGTGTGTGTGTGTGTGCGTGCGTGTGCGCGCATGTGCGCGCGCTTTTCTTTAGAAACTGGACTTACAGGAATATTCAAGTCTCTGCTTGATATTTACAATTATTTTTAGAGAAACTCTTTTGCTGAGTGTCGAGGTGGGGGATAGTGGTAAAGATAGGATCCCATCTCATTCTTCTCGGCAGGAACAGAGATGTTACCTGCATCAGGCTGCTGGACAGAGAAGGTCAGGGCTGTGGCTGAGAGTGGGGAAGCCACTGGAGACCTGGGTCCGACCAGGCTCTGCTGCTCTCCAGAAAGGGGACGCATGCAGCCTCAGCTCCATCCCTTAAACTCTGATAGAATTTTCTCTTGCTAGGGTTGTTTGTTGTGAGGACTAAATGAGCTATTGTGTTTAAAGAGCACCTAATACCCGTCTCCGTCCATCTGCCCATCATCTGTCTAGACATATTAATTATCTATGGGAAAGACAAAACAAGCCAGCAATAGGGACTGCCTCTGAGAAGGGAGAGTTGCAATGCACTGTGTATTGTCTTTGATTCTGTGCATGTGTTGCCTAAATGTATGTGATCTCTACATATTTTTTAAAATTAGGTGGTAAAATGGCAGACACACAGAGTTCAATAAGTGTCAGTTCCTGTCTCATTATCTTCTCCACTAACTCCCCCAAAAGTACAGATTGTGTTAGGTGGGCAATCTGGCTTTCTCTGAGACTTTCTGGTGGTCTGCTCTACCTGCAAATAGTATAACACCTCCCAGAGATTGAGTGGGTAAAACTGAACATATAAAGAGATGAAAGCGGGGGCGCCTGTGTGGCTCAGTTGGTGAAGCATCCTACTCTTGATTTCAGCTTGGGTCATGATGTTGGAGTCCTAGGATTGAGCCCCATGTTGGAGCTCTATGCTCAGCAGGAAGTCAGCAGGAAGTCTGCTTCTCTCTCTTTCTCTCTCTCTTCCTCTCTTTCTGCCCCTCCCCCTGCTCACATGCACTCTCTCTCTAAAATAAATAAATAAATCTTTTAAAAAATGGTTAAAGTGTTTAATGTTGTGTTACATATATTTTATCACAATAAAAATTTTTAAACAAATAAAAGAAAAAATGAATTTACCACGTGTTTTCCTTCTTGGGCATTTATCCTGGAGAAGCAAAAAGTCATTTCGTGCAGAAACTTGTACATGAATGTGCACAGCAGCTTTATTGTAATACCCCCAAGCTGGAACTAACTAAAATGTCCCCTCATCAGTGAATGGTTAAACAGACTGGTCCATCTACACCATGGAATACTATCCAGACATAAAAAGATAAAAACTACTGATACGTGCAATAATTCGGAAGACTCTGAAATTATGCTGTGTGAGAAGAGCCAGTCTCAAAAGCAGATGCGTACTGCATGAGTCCATGTATGTGACATGTGTGAAATAACATAATGATGGGTGTGAAGAATGGAGTAAGGTCTTCCAGGAGCTGGGGAGGGAGCAGGTGGCTCTGAATGGCTGAGGGACTCTTGCTGCAGTGGTGGTGTGGTTCAGGACCTTGATCGCGGTCATGACACACGAGGGCCCACGGGTGAGTAAACTCTGCAAGCTACATGTACACTGACACATAGAGGAGAGCCCGTACAACTGCTGACGTCTGAATCAGCTTGCTAGGGATGCCTGTGCTGGCTTCCTGGAGTTGATACTGTCCTATAGTTACACGAGATGCCACCACTGGGGGGACTGGAGAATGTGCACACAGAACCTCTTCTTCTTCTTCTTTTTTTTTTTTTTTTAAAGATCTTATTTATGTATGAGAGAGAGAGACAGAGAGAGAGCTTGAGCAGGGTGGGGGGGAGAGAGAGAGGGAGAAGCAGACTCCCCACTAAGCAAGGAGCCCGACATGGGGCTCTATCCCGGGACTCCAGGATCCTGACCTGAGCCCAAGGCAGACGCTTAACCGACTGAGCCACCCAGACGCCCCTCCCTGCCTGACTCTTTACACCTCTCTATGCATCTACACTTATTTTAAAATAAAAAGTTTTTTTTTTTTAAAGAAGTGCTTTCCATACACTATCTTACTTGATCCTCTCAGTGACCAAGGGAAGTGATTATTCACATTTTATAGAAAAGAAAAACCAGACGCATGGAACAACCTGCTGCTTGAAGATTACATACCAAAAAACAAGCAAAATCACAAGCTCTTCGTTAGTATTGATGTATTTACGTATGGATTTCCAGGTACAGAAAGAATTAGGGACGTCAACAAAGAAATAAAGGCATTCTGTACATAGCGCATTTGCAAAACAAAGCAAGCCCTTTATCCTCGCGCTACATGCTACTTACGGAAGACTTGAAGGTTGAAGCGCCTGGTGGTGGTGGTGACCACCCCTTCAACGGTCTTTGTATTTATGTCGGCTTTGTAGATGCCAGAATCTTCCATCCTCAGATTACTGATCTCCAGGTTGTAGTTCTGACAGGAGACATTTATTCGGTCATTATAATTTTGGTGGGTCACAGTAACTTTGGGTGCTTCTCCTGCATCTCCTGGCGTTATGAAAGCAACAGATGTCTCAGAGTTCCAAACGATGTTGACAACTTGCTGTGATTTTTCGATATTTAAGGGGAAAGTGACCAACTCCCCCAGTATCCCAATCAACGTGACGATATCTGTGTCACTTCCGTCTGCTTCCAGACCTGGGGACATAAATAGAAAACCATTGCCATTTCCCTGTTGCACTTTTTAGAGTCTCCTGTCTCCCAGGCTGCAGCTCATCCAACCTCTGGAGGGTTTTTTTGTTTTTCTTTTGTATTTTTGTGGGGTTTTTCTGTTTGTTTTTTAGGTTTTGTTTTGTTTCATTTCATTTTTTGTTTTTGGTATTCTACTCTACATATAATATGTTATGATGGCTAAATTTTCTAAGGGATTCTCATAAAACAAAAATTTCCAGTGAATTTCAAGGGGTCTATTTTATTAAAAAGCTTTACCTGGACTTATAGACCGAAGGGTCTACGAGATTGGAGGGACAAAGACCATACACCTCCAGAAGGTTTGAGGATTAAGTGTCTTTCTTTCCCAAGATCACATTGCCAAGCGACGGAAGGGCTGGGACAAGAGCCTGGCTGCTGTGGTCTTTGCAAAAAGAAAGCTACATTTATACCTTTATTTCCAGAAGATACAGGCCTATAGTGCTTTGGAGGTTCTCGAGTAAGTATTTCCCAAGTTGGTGATTTGGAGAGGTCTTTTTTGTTCCCTACTCTATCTCCAGCCTCTAGACTAGTCCATGACATGTAGTGCTTGCTTAATAAACATTTGTGGAATGAATTAATAAATGGAATTCACTTACGTGTTGCCTAGAATCTCTTGGAACAGCTTCTGATGTAAGCAAAATTCATTTATTCATTCGTACATTTATGAATGAATGCATGAATTTTTTTCAAGGTCAGCTTTGTCCCAGATACTACAGCAAGTAATTATTAATCAAATTTCTGATACAAATATTTGCTGAACATCTACTCTTTTAAGTGCAATGCAAGGAGCTGTGGGATACAGAGGTGAGTGAAAATTGATATAACTTTCCTGCTCTTTGGAACTTTACAATTAAAGGAAGAGATCAATAGTGATCAGATCATCACAGATGTACAGATACGATATATATAGTTGACTCTTGAACAACACAGACTTGAACTGCGTGGGTCCACTTATACATGAAATTTTCCTGTAAATACAATACAATACTGTCAATGTGTTTTCTCTTCTTTATGATTTTCTTAATAACATTTTCTTTTCTCTAGTTTACTTTATTGTAAGAATAAGGTCTGTAACACAATAAAGCATACAAAATGTGTGTTAACTGACTATTATCAGTAAGGCCTTTGGTCCAGAGTAGGCTGTAAGTGAAGTTTTAGGGGAGCCTGAAGTTATACATGGATTTTCAAGTGCATGAGGGGTCAGTACCCTCAACCCCTGCATCGTTCAAGGTCAACTGTGTAAGTATTATGGTGCTTTGAGAGACAATAGCAAGGAGACTTGACTTGTTACTTTCTAGTAAAAGCTGAAGGATGAATGCTTTTAAAATCCAATGTAGGGGGAATGAGAAATTTATTTTTTCTCTCTTCTCCTCTTTCATCTTATGAAGATAAACTGACTTGATACCTAGTTTGTAAAATGAGAGGCAATATAATTATAGAATGGCCGCCCTTCACCTCCAGCCCAGTAGCTCCTGAATGAGACTAGAGATTGCTAATAAAAATCTCTTTCCTTTCAGACCAACCAAGATTTTGCCTTAGGAGGACCATCCCAGGTCATGCATGATGACTTAGTTGGGATGGGTTAAGTACAGAAGAAGATGTAACAGGGTCCTGGGGGAGGGAGAGACTAAGGACCTGTATCTACAAACATTTATTAGGTGCTAACTATGTGCCATATGCTATGCTAGAGACTCAGGGAAAAATAGGATGTGGCTGCGGTGCTGAGGAGATCACACCCTGGAGAATAAGACAAATGTGTATGCAAGTAAAGAATAACACAATCTGATGAGTGCTAAATGGTAAAAGCAAAAGAAACAAACCACTGGGGAACCAAAGGAGAGACTAAGGCTGCCTTCAGGGCAAGAGTCATAGTTTACAAAAATCCAGCTTCTTTTTTTTTTTTTTTTAAAGATTTTATTTATTTATTTGACAGATAGAGATCACAAGTAGGCAGAGAGGCAGGCAGAGAGAGAGAGGAGGAGGCAGGTTCCCTGCTGAGCAGAGACCCCGATGCGGGGCTCGATCCCAGGACCTGAGCCGAAGGCAGAGGCTTTAACCCACTGAGCCACCCAGGCGCCCCAAAAAATCCAGCTTCTTGAACATTAATTCTCTCCAGATAAACTGTTCCATTGGGCTATGGGGTGTGGTAGAGGGGTCCTTGGTGTGTGCCAGCCTGAGTCCTTCTCAGACATGGGCATGCCACCCGGGCAGGTGCACAGAGCCTTGAGCTCAGAAGGACTCTGAGGTTGGTTTAAGGCTGCTGTGCCACCTTGAAAGACTTACTATTGTTTGGACAAGGACCCCCCCCCCCATTTTCATGTTGCAATGGCTTCTGCAAATTACACAGCTGATTCTGGTGCCAGGTAGTCCATGTCTTGTGGAACTTTTTAAAATCAGACCCTGGCACCTAACTGCCATTCTGTTCTGTAGATAAAAGTTAAATGTGTGAAGAGGATGTGGGTTCTCTCCTCAAGCCCCAGGAAGTGTGTAGGCGAGTTGTAAAAACAGAACTTCTTAGGGTTCATGGCAATTGGGTGGCCACAAGGCAGAGTGTGTGTCGTGTTGTTTTTGACTTATCCCCCATAGCAAGTCTTTCAGGGAGTGATGTGGTGCATCAAAGGGCGAGGAGACAGGAGCACTGGCAGGTAGGTCGGACTGGGGAAAGTCCTGCTGCCCCTCTTGCTGCTTGCATTGTTGGTGAGAATCCTGGGCTTGCTGAGGAAAGGCCTAGGGCTCACCCATGCATGAGATGCAGCCTTGGTTACCTCCAGACCCTCTGACTATGGTCTGAGGCAGGTGGCTGGGAAGACAAGGAGCCTGGAAGTGTGGGTGATAGCACTTCTGATTAGAAGCTGGACTACCTTCATAAAGCTACAAAACCTTTCTGAGTCTCAGTGGCTCCATCTATAGAATGGAAATAATAACCATAAACTTTGTTCTACCTAAGTAGTGACCAGCAAATCATACAATAGGAGTGGAATGTCTTGTAGCCATTAAGGCACCATGCATGTCAGTTGTTTCTGGAGTTGATGATGACAATGACTCTCATCTTCATCATTTGCTTCATCATCATCCTCATAACTGGTACATGCCTTTGAAGCCTTCCTAGGCCACCCCCATGATGGCCTGGGGTGGGGGTGGGGGGTAGCAGGACCATACTGAAGAATGTATAAAGGGCCATTATTAAGGGCTAATTCAAGTAAAGCCCAGAGAGATAGTTTTAGGTACCACTCCACTTGATGGACTTTAAGCTTAAGACTTCAGGTTTTAAAAGAGAATCTCCATATTGAGCTACCTCAATATTTATTTTTCTAGGTGCTATAATATAATGTAAGTGTTGTAAAAAGTGTAGGTGCAGGGTATATATAATATACTAATGACATAATATATATTATATATTAGTTTATATGTTTTATATTTGTGTATTATGTTAATTATATATAATAACATATAACACAAGAGTAAAATAATCCATAAAATCCAGTAATATAATATAAATGTAAACATTATATTAACATTGGAAGGGACCTAAGGAAAACCCATCTTCAGAGAGAACTTGTAGCACAAAAATGTCTTGAGGACTTAACACATAATGTACTAGGCAAGTCTATGACCAAACCAGTTCTCTGCCATTTTTTAGGAATTTCATAATTGCTTAGGAAATAAGATACACACAAATGCACATAACTCTTCTTTGAAAAATGAGGTAGTAAATGGTAAATTCATGTAATGGTAGAGACAGTAGTTACAGTACAAATACAAAGAAAGGAGAGATCACTTTGAACCATAGTGGTTAGGGGAAACTTCTTAAAGAAAGTAGAATTTGAGGAGGACTTTGAAAGAGTGAATAGGATTTTACTGAAGAGAAATGGAAAGGATGAGTGTCTCAGGTCCTCAGGTCCTGAGTAAAAATTTAGAAGCAGGAGAACATGCGATGTGGGTTGAGTAAATATAGGTTTGCATAATGGAGTAGAAAAAGATAAGGAGGAGATACAAATCTGGTTTAGGTCTGAGACAGCCTTGAGTTTGAGATCTACATCACAGGCAGAGGGGAGCTATTGAAGTTCTTGAGGATGAAGATTAAAATGATATTTTAGGGTCATAGTAAGATAGTAATGTTGTGTAGGAAGAATAAAAAAAAAAGAAACTGGGCTTGAGAGACCATTTTGGAAGCTTCTATAGGCATCTGGGCATGAACCAGAGGATGATAAGATGAATGGAATGGAAGTGCTGAATTTGAGACACAGTGTAAAGAAAGAGAGGGAGTAAGGAGGAACCTGATAGAATTTAGTTGTTCAACAATATATTTTGAGCATCTACTTTGTGTCAGTGAAAACTGATAGATACTGGAAAACTGGCTAAGATTATGCTGAAAAAAAGTCCAAAGGAGAAAATAGGTTTAGTGTTAGAAATATTGAATTTGAGGGGCGCCTAGGTGGCTCAGCTGGTTAGGGGTCCAACTTGTGATTTGGGGCTCAGGTCGTGATCTCAGGGTTGTGAGATTGAGCCCCACATCAGGATCTGTGCTGGGCACAGAGCCTGCTTAAGATTTCCTCTCTCCTGTCCCTCTCCAGTGTAAAAAAAGAAATACTGAATTTAAGATTATGTTGGACCATCCTGATAAGTAGTTGGAAGGATGGAAGATAAGGAAAGAAAACGGTCTGAAAATATTGCTTGGGGGTTGCAGCAAAATCTGTCGGTTATTTTCCAATGTTTGTTCTCTCCTTTATTCTTGGTAAGAGAATGCCTAATTTTTAGCAAGGCATATGGTCACCCAGGATAAAGACTACATTGTCCAGCTCTTTGCTAGCTAACTTTGGTTATATGACTAGATTCAGGTCAATGGGATGAAAGCAAAAGTGTTGCATATGACTACTGTGTCTTTAAGAAGAGGGTACTTTGCTTTCTTCATTTCTTTCTTGCTTCTTGCAGGCTGAAGTGCTACG